TGTTTTCTTCCTTATTTATTTATATGGACTTATTTATTTATATTGAGAAAATCAGCAATGATTCCTATCCTTTACCCCCTCTACACTACAAAATCTACATCCCTGGATTCAGTTGAGGTGGGAGCATGAAAAAAACTGATGTGGGAGGATGGCTCCAAAACAGAGTTTCGTAAAGTTATTTTCTGTGTTCTATATAGCCTCCAGCTCTTCATACTTAGTGCTTAACCTACCTGCTTCTGTATGATGGGCACCCAGCTCCTGGCATTTCTTCCTGAATTTGTACTTTTTCATGGAACATTGTTTCTATACACGCTTTGCTGTGGTTAGAATTTGGACTGGGGCCTGATACAAATTCTGGTCCTTATGGAGCCATGCCAAAAACTACACCCTGAAGCTGAGCGGCAGGATGCAATTTGCAGTGAATATTGCCACTGCATGCAATGCAAGCCCAAGTGTGGTTTTCAATTGGTGTTCAATGGGCACTTTAAAAAAAGCTCACCAGGGCTTCCGTCCCCAGTAGACCAATGCTACTGGCTACTGACAACACCAAGGTGGAGGAAAGAGAGTCCTCGCCTTCTCATGCAGTGAAAATGGAGCCACTGAAGCGGAGCCCCCCTGGGCAAAGCCCACATTGACATCTGCCAAGTACTGGAAGGCTGATGATGACTTCTTGCTAGCCATGTCATTTTCATTGTATATCAAGGAAATGCAGTCCGTGGCTGGGGAGCTACTGGCTACTGACAACACCAAGGTGGAGGAAAGAGAGTCCTCGCCTTCTCATGCAGTGAAAATGGAGCCACTGAAGCGGAGCCCCCCTGGGCAAAGCCCACATTGACATCTGCCAAGTACTGGAAGGCTGATGATGACTTCTTGCTAGCCATGTCATTTTCATTGTATATCAAGGAAATGCAGTCCGTGGCAGGGGGGTGCCTTCCAGCACTGGCTGGGTGGCTGGACCTGTATGTTCTGCCTTAATGTGAAGAACCACATGAAAACAGACATGTCTTGCAGATAACACACAGTAAAAAGCTTTGCTGCGGATTACTACAACTGATCCCTTCACTTCTTTAGTACTGTAGTCACTAGATCTAGCAATCAGATAATGCTGCGGATTACTACAACTGATCCCTTCAGTTCTTTAGTAGTCACTAGATCTAGCAATCAGATAGTGCTGTAGTGGTTATACATAAATGATGGACTATGACTCTGGAGACCAGCATTCAAATCCCTGTTCAGCCATGGAAGCTCACTGGGTTAGTGGACTGGTAAAGCCACTCCTTAAATATCTCACTTACCTTGAAGGCCTTATTAGGGTCACTTTTAAGTCACTTACCTTGAAAGCCTTATTAGGGTCACTTTTAAGTCGGTTCTGATTGGATGGCACACACCAGCCAGATCTAGCAAATGGGATGCTGAAGGTTCTGCTGTCAAACCTTTGGGGCTGGGATAATCTAAGGGTCTCTGGTAGCACCATTCCCATGTTCCCCAGTGTCCATTCTCCCTACATGCCTGCTCTGTGCACATTCCACTCTGAAAACTGGGCACTTACAAGTGATTAATGCATCTGGGAGGGAGATATAAAACGAGCATCAAACATTTAAACACCATGTATGGGGACGTGGTGGCGCTGTGGGCTAAACCACAGAAGCCTGTGCTGCAGGGTCAGAAGACCAGCAGTTGTAAGGTCGAATCCACGCGACGGAGTGAGCGCCCGTCGCTTGTCCCAGCTCCCGTCAACCTAGCGGTTCAAAAGCATGCAAATGCAAGTAGATAAATAGGGACCACCTCGGTGGGAAGGTAACAGCGTTCCGTGTCTAAGTCGCACTGGCCATGTGACCACGGAAGATTGTCTTCGGACAAAAACGCTGGCTCTATGGCTTGGAAACGGGGATGAACACCGCCCCTAAAGTCGAACACGACTGGACAAAAATTGTCAAGGGGAACCTTTACCGTTACCTTATGGGTCCACAACTTGGAAAACATAGCATCCTTTCTGACATGGGTCCTGGCAGCTGTGCCCCCCCCCCGGGCTTGGGAGATTCTGAGACTTGGTAGCCCTCAAAAGGAATTTTTCCGGGTTCTAGAGGGCTCAAGGGGTGACTTCTAAAATTACCGAGTTGCCTGCGCATGCCACGACGAAGGGAGGGCCCGCCGAAAGGCCCCTCGCCCCCACAGAACTGGAAGTCTAGGCCCCTTTGAAAAAGCAGCCATCCCACCAACTGAAGCCTGGCCATGGTGAGGAGGGGCAGAAGGAGCCTGTCAGACCCAGGGACGGCAATGGATGTGTCGGAGTCAAAAAAACGAGACGTTTGGGAAGGATTAAATGCTAGCAAATTCCTCTTCAAGCCTCCCAGGCAAGAGAGAGAGAGAGAGAGAGAGAGAGGGAATGTAGTGGCACCGGCTTGGTCACCTCTGCCTGGCCCCAGAGCAGGTGGAGCCCAGAAGTGGGGTGTGACTCAGGAACAGATTCTCTCCAGGGGGCATATTTTCCGTGGCAGGGAGTGGCGGTGAGCAAACCTGAGCTGGTGACAGACAGAAAGCCACGGCCGATGAGCACTCAAAAGCTTCCGCACACGGCACTATGCACCTCGCTGGAGCAAACCTGCACGGGGCCAGCTCGAGACTGCTCTTGAAGACACCTGTGCCCTTTGAGACCAGGTGAGCCTTGGCAAAGGCAGGAGGGAGGGCCTGGGAGCCCCATGGGCACCACTCCAGAGCCTGTGTGCAAGCGTGTGGAGGGAACAGGATGTCTTCCAACCGGGGGCGGGGGGGGGCAGCTGGCTTCCTCAGGGTAGAAGAAGCATGCAGGAGCTTTGGGTGGAAGGGCTGAGCCAAAGCAGAACTTGGGAAAGTTACTTTGTTGGGTTCCTGTTCCATGAATCCCCCACCAGCTATACTGGCTAGAGTAGTGGTCCCCAACCTTGAGCCTCCAGATGTTCTTGGACTCCAACTACTCCAGAAGCTTTCACCACCACCTCTGCTGGTTAGGATTTCTGGGAGTTGAAGTCCAAGAACATCTGGAGGCCCAAGGTTGGGTACCACTGGGCTAGAGGGTTCTAAGCGTCACAGTCCAAAAAAAGAGAGTAATTTTTGGCTCAGAGCTTGGAAATCAAATGTTTCCCACGACCGCAAACTAACTTCCTCGGGACCCAGGGAGTGGAGAAACTCTTTACTGAGGGTGCTTTCAAGGTGTGCCCTGGCTCTTTTGTTACTCTTCTTTTCAAAAGATGAAGTGAGTGTTATTATATCATGTCATTCTAGCAGGTCAGCATGAAATTGGCTCCGTTGATGCAGGGAATGCAATCACCAATAAATACTCTTGCCGGTTTTCCTTTCCTTTCCTTTCCCTTTTTTCAGGACATACTTCTCGTCCTCAAGCATGCAGGGAAAATCTGAAGGCAATTTCTGCTAAGTACTCAAAAATCAGGGTGGATCTTCAAAAGGCTCTGGATGTTCGTGGGGGTGAGGGAGATGATTGGATTTTGTTTTGCACAAAGAATTGTGTGTGATGCCTGAAATGAAGCATTCCAGGGAGCTTCCACATGTTCTCATGTGGAAAGCCTCAGTCCTGTGCTGGATGTGTAGGAGTTGCTTGACATGATTGAGCAGCGTGAGGACAGGACACCGTGACTATGCTCAGAGACCCTTTCCCCCCCACAAAGTTTGGAAGTAACCACGTTGCCCTATAGCCTGTTGTTTTCAGGGATAAGGAGTTAATACTGATCCTTCTGAATGTCACATAAGGATTGGGTCATATCCACTTTCTCCTATGCAAGTAAGAAGAGAGAAAATGGTTCTGGGGGACATTTTAAGATTCCCCACCCCCAAAATGTTTTGAAATGTTTTCTTACCGTTTTAGATGGACTTTTTTAAAAAAAGGGGTGCATGAAAAAAACTGAAAATGAAGTAAAACAGAAATGTGCTTTTAGAAATTTCTGTGAGTCATACTGAGCCACATTTCTTCCTTTCCAAATTCTACTCTTCTGCATGTTATCATGATTAATGTACTGGATGTGGAAATAATTCCTGAGTTCCAGTGAAGTTCTGGTCAGTTCTGGATCCAGCAAAGCCTTAACGTAGTTTGCAAGTTTTTCTCTAAATTGACATTCCGTTCCCATCCCTGTTTCTGTCGCTCTGCTCCTGCCCAAAGATCACCACCATGGTGAGCTTCCATATATGCTTCCTGTCTAATGATAGGGAAACACATAGGGGGTGGGGGTGAGGGACTACAACTCCCATCGTATACAACCAGCATGGCCGTAACGGAAATGAATAAGAGGAAAATGCTGAACAGTTAGGATTTTCTATCTTTCATGAGGCAAACTTCAAGTTTCTCGAAGATTTAAAATGGAAGCTGGAAATTCTTGCTTCTTTGGCCACTGGGGTGGTGGAAACTTCCACGCATCCTCCAATATTTCCACAGCTCTTCCTCATGTCAGGACGCCTCGAGCTTTGTTTGATCAGAGGCTACGAAAGGACAACAGAGGAGACGGCTCTTAATTTGGAAACCCTTTCAAAAAGCCTGTGATGATGGCCATAGAAAGAGAAGAGACAGGGCTTGAAGGAGAAGGAGCAAACCTGAAGATCAGCCTCCCTGTACAAGGGTAACAAAGCATCTTCTGGCACCTTATTAGACTGGAATGAAATGTTTGCAATAATTCACAGAAAAGTTATTTCCTGTAAGCAGGCACGAACCCACGGGCAAGACACATTATGTTTTAATGCAGTTCCTTTCATTAGTACACATTAAAACAACCGAGGATCTTTTCCTCAGCCCTTGGTAAGTGTGTCTGGCTAAAGGTGTAAATCAAACCTCAGAAAGGGACGATCTGAAAGGCCCTGAGATTGGTGGTGGGAATGGAGGGAAGAGAAAAGCCCAGGGCCTGGAATGGCTGGGATTTGGGCTGCAGCTGTCCAAGAAGACTTGAGCAGGTGATAACGCTTGCCGCTTTTCTATGGAAAAGCTTGACTTGCTGATTTCTAGCTGACCAGGCTTTTCTTAAAGGCACCAGAAGATTATTTTTGCCAACAGCAACGCTAGGAGAGAATGTGCCGGAGGTCTGCTGATTGATGGAGTGTTTCATCAACCCAGAACAAAATTCTGTAGGGCATTAGACAAAGACCTGTAAGGAGAGAGTACCTTAAGTGATGGTGAGTGAGGAAAACAGCCAAGGCATGGTTGCCGGGAAAGAACGGAGAATGGATTTGTTTGTAGGAACGTTTGTTGAGCTGAGGAAAGGTGTGGGAAGGGAAGCTGAAGCAGGCTGGCTGGGGTGAAAAGCCTGCAGAGATGTCAAAGGAGAAGGAGGTGGGGGGGAGTCCTAATTTGAAGATAGCAAGAAGGGCACAGCATTACAGGGGGAAAATTTTCTTATTTTCATTTCATTTCTTACCTGGCAATCAATATAAAACTCAGTCCTTTATGCACAGAAAAAAATGTGAATGTAAGATAGACCCGGTAAAAATGTTTGATTTCATTTAACCTGTAAGCATCCTTTGACACCTTAATTTGTACAGACAAAGGAAAAGGTCTTCGTAGGGATTAGCCTGTCTGGCATTCTTCTCTTCAGAAAGAGCTTAAGGGATCATTACAACAGAAACACTAAGTTAAAGCACTTATTTGTACCTTGATGTTTTGAGATTTGTTGGTGTTGGATCAATGCCCCACACGATTACATTAACAGGATGATTTCATTTGTTATTCCTTTTACATGATTCTATTCTTAACACAACCAAGTGGGAAAGTTCAGTCCCCTGTTTTTACTGTCTGTTAATCCTGCCAAAGATGTTCTTTCCTTGTATTCTCGAAGGCTTTCACGGCCGGGATCTGATGGTTGTTGTGGGTTTTTTGGGTTCTTTGGCCGTGTTCTGAAGATTGTTCTTCCTGACGTTTCTCCAGTCTCTGTGGCCGGCATCTTCAGAGGACCGGAGTAGGAACTCTGTCCATGCTCTGTTGTTCTTTGTTGGAGAGTTGAGGATTTATAGCTGTGGACTGCAGACTAAAACAATCGGAAAAATCAGCAGTAGCTGAACATGCCCTAAAACAAGCTGGACATTAAATTCTGTTTCAAAATACTGAAGGACTAGACAACACCAGCAATCTGTATGTTAGACTGCACAGGGAAGCCATTGAAATCCATAAACATAAACAGAACTTCAACAAAAAGGAAGGAGGCCTAAAACTAAGCACGGCTTGGCTCCCAATACTGAAAATACAGCCTGCAAAAGGTCAATGAACTCTACCCAGCCACAAGGGCCAGGGATCAATGCACAAAAAAGACCAGCTAATGATACCCATCAATCACAGTGACAGATAATCTCTCCCCCTTATCACAACAAAAACATGCTGATCACCTTATCTCCTGAAAAAAAAGACAAAAGCTGTTCCCACAGCAATAAATACTCAACTATCCAACAAACAGCAACAGAGCATGGACAGAGTTCCTAATCCAGTTCCCTGAAGATGCCGGCCACAGAGACTGGTGAAATGTCAGGAAGAACAGCTTTCAGAACACAGCCAAAGAACCCGAAAAACCCACAACAACCATGTTATTTCCTTGCCCTATCAATCGACTGCTCCTCCCGATCGCCACGCGACAGATTGAACCAGATTTTAAACAGACTGCAGTTCCCTGTGTCCCTGTTCAGTACCTCCCAAAATACCCAGTTCTGAGAACCATGAATACAAATCCAGCCACTTCCATTTTAGTTCCCCACCACCACCACGTCCTGCCATTTTTGGCAGTCTCTGTGGCCCCCCCAGAAGATCCCCAAACAAGAGCTTTTGTCCTTTGACCCGCTGAGAGAGTCATACAGGTTTCATTTCCTTCTCTGTCCTAAAGAATATTGTTCTTTAGATCCCCCTGAATGTCCAAATGCCCCATGTGGGAAAGGCTGGCTGTGCCTTTAAAGCCTTTGCCCTTTTCCTGTCTGCTGCTTCCTGTGTTCACATTACAGGGAAAGATCCAGCGCAACAAGACCTACTGTCCTCCTCTAGTACAGGGCTTGGCATGGCGTATTAAAATAACAATCAGGATGAGATTGTGAATGCTGCTGGTTGTCGCTAGATAGCTGTGAAGGTTGTGGACAGGGATGAAGGAGCAAGGGCTTTGTGGTAGACAGGGCCTTGTCTAACAGATGAGATGAGAATTGGTAACATGGCATGGCAGGAATATCCAGAGCAGAACCTGGAAAAGTGACAGGACCAGTGAACTGAAGCTGGGCGTATGGAACTGGACTGTGGTAAAATCAGCAGATTTTAAAGCTCATTTAACTACCTCTGTTGTGAGCAAATGTGATGGGGGGGGTCTCTTTCATATAATCCCATACAAATCTGTCTTGATATATGAGCAGAGCTAGGTAGCTTGGGAAGGTACTGTACTTCTAAAAAAGTAATTAATGCCTGTTACGTATTGGAAAGTAATCTGTTGCTTTACGTACAAAGTTGAGACATCACTTGCTCCATTATTTGTTTTGATTGATGCTGGGTCTTTTTTTGGTTACTTTCCATTACTTTGGAAGGGGGTGAGATTTAGGGTTAATAATAGGAGTGGCATAAAACTAGAACAATTGTGTCAGAATGCCTGAAAATGCCATTCAAAAGTAACATTTGAAACTCACTGGAAAAGATTACTCATTTACATCAGTCAAGTAACTTTGTTCCCACTTTTTTGGTAGCTTTTGAAATGAAACTTTTATACACACGTTAAAAACAAAGAAAGAAAGAAATAGGCAACATTTTTGTAATTTGTACTCCGGAACTCTGAAAAGAACCTATATGCATGTGCGTATGCAGGATCTATTCAGAAGTCTGTGTACGAAAGAGGTGGGAAGCAGCAGGTTTAAATTTACTCTCTGTACAAACAGTGACAACTAGGTTTAGGGACAAAATAAATCACTGCCAGTTCAAAGTCTGTCTACATGGGTGCAGCTGAAAACTGACGTGGTTTGCATTCCTCCACTTGTCTGGATTTCCACCCTGTTAACTCCAGATTAAGCGTGACACCTCCCTTTGAATCCACCTGTGGAAGGTGGCTCCCTGTACCACTGTCGTTGTGCTGTTTCCCCCCCCTTATCATTTGGGGTAAATATTTGACCTCTCTCTCTCTCTCTTTCTCCTTCCTAGAAATGTCAACATGGGCCCAACCCGTTCCACTGGGGTGGCTGAATAGAGATGCTATCTGCTGACACGGGAACTGTAGCTCTCAATCTCGTTCTCTCTCAGTCTTTGGGCTTGGGGCAAAGGCCACAGCAGCCATGGCCCACCACAATGTGAGCTTCTTGCCCGAGAATTCCTCACAACGTCCGGATCCCAAGGACGAAGCCACGAGCCAGGAGCCCAGCACCCTTGAATGTGTCATCTGCTTTACCACCTTTGACCGGCTCTTCAAACTGCCCAAGGAACTGAGTTGTGGCCATATCTTCTGCCTCGAGTGCTTGGCGCGGATCAACGTCTCTTCCGAGGACGTCAACGCCCTCACCTGCCCGATCTGCCGAGCTCCCACCGCCTTGCCGTCCCGCAAAGGGCTGACGGGCCTTCCCACCCGCCGCGACCTCTTAGACCAGCTCCGCTCCACCCCTGCTCCGCCAGGCTCTGTGCGCTTTGACCGCCGCCGGGGCCTGCTGTACTTACCTGGTGGGAATCGGGGCCATGCGCAAGCTGGCTCCAAGCCAGGAGCCCCTCTCAACACGGTCAGCTTGAGTGTCGATGTCGGGCGGCCTCCTCCCCATGGAGCACGCCGGATTCTGGGCTTCACCGGCTGGCCGTTCTATGTGGCCCTGACGGTCGCTTTGCTGGTTACGATTGGTTTAATTATCTGTGGCATTTATATCTTTTTGATGCCCTCCATGTACACACTTACGGGGGCAGGGCCTCCCCCGAGAAACCAGAGTTTTGGGCTTCCTGTGAATCATTCCCATACAGTGTCTTTACCCACAAACTGAAAAACAGGAAGAGGAGAGAGACCTGCCTTTCCATTATGTTTTGCCCTTCCATCTTCCTGTGCCAGTTGGAAGCCCCGACTGGACAGAGATGGGTCTGCCTCCTTCAGCCACAGAGTTTCGGGGAGCGTGGGGAGAGAGAGAGTGGGAGTGTGTGTGCATGTGTGGAGAATTGAGTCTGCTTCCACCTCAGATCGATCTGTCAGCAGAGAGAGAGAGAGAGTGTATGTGTGGAGAATTGAGTCTCCTTCCACCTCAGATCGATCTGTCAGCTTACCCGTGGAGGCAGTTGCACTAGCACTTTACCAGAAATTGGGTGCTTGAACTATCGCAGGAAGTCCCCGTCGCAGGCAACGGGGCACACCTCCTTCTCTGGGTGCATATCAATGGCGACGGGTTATGTAGCTTCATAATTACCACATTACATTCAGAAGCAGGGAGATCTAAAAGAAGGGCGTCTAACTGTCTACCATGTCAGATGGACAGTGGGTACTACCTTTTTTTTTAAAAAAAAGATCCTCTAGACTTCAAACTAGAGCCTTTCAGTAGCCAGACAACCAGCAGAGAAGCTGGGAATGGGCTGAGGCCACCCTTTTTCTCCCTAATCTACTTGGGTCTTTTGTTTGGTTTTACTGGTAGACCGCGGAGTAAGTAGGAAAAGGACTGAAGGTAATGTCCGTCCCCCCACCAGCATTTGAAGTGGTACAGTCCACACCACTCTTCTCCTCCATATTGCTTCCTGTGCAAACAAGGAAGGATCAGTTCCAGGTTTTGATGGGACCTTGGGTTTCCTATGTAACCTCACCACGTCGCTGATGTCCCTTCACTCTCTGGTCCCACAAAAGTGAGGCAAGGGGGACCCCATTGGTGTGTCTCCTTGCTCCTTTTGCTGTTTAACAAGGGCTGGAGAAGAGGACATCCAAGGCTTGGCAGTCAGCATCAGAACAGGGGAGGAAAGCCATTTCTGAGGACTACAATTTCTAATCCCAGGAAGATCTGGGATTTGTAGTCCAAAACTGTCACTTTTCCAAGTTCTGATCAGCAGTTGGCCCTCTGGGTGGGGCATCAATCTTGGTAGAGGAAGTTCTGGCGTTGGCTTTGAGAACAAGCTGGTGTGCCTACAGATCCTCTGGTTTGATAGTCTCTCTAATTTTGTGGCAGGCAACATTTAGCTTTCCCGATGCGGAGGATCAATCCCTACCAGGCTGTGCTTTACCTCTGCTCTAGTTTAATTAGCATGGACAAAGAAACTTAAGAGTAAGGCAAAGATCAGTTTTAGAACAGGGGTAAGCAACTCCAAGTCCCATCAGACTTAGACAGCATAGCCGAAGGTCAGGAAATGTGGGAGCCAGACTTCAAGCCATTCTGGAAGGCATTAACATAATATAGCCAGGATTTGAAAGAAATGCTAGCCCCTGCTAGCTCTTGTACACACACACACACACTGGCGATCCGGGTGGCTACCTTCTCTATCAAGATAACTTGGGCCTTAGAACAGCTACACAGCAGACAGACATTCAGACAGCAATTCTTTTCTTAACTTGGAGATGCCATAATGGGGAGAAAGGGTGTGTATCACCTGCTGAAGGCCTACCTGCTGGGCAGCTATTAAAGACATAGGAGCACTGTTTGTAATAATATGGTAAGACAAGGCACCAGCTACCAATTATTGCAAGTCAGAGTGTTTTAAATGGCCCAGCAGCAAAGGCAGGATTGAAAGAGGGCTACCCCAGTTTTGCACCTTGGGGACTCTACCTAGTCCCAATGAAGTTGTTTTCCAGTTTGGTTTTACATCCGCATTGTCCCTTTTGTGTGACAGTGTGGATTTTTTTTCCCTTGCCATGGTACTGATCCAGAAAGTAATTTATTCTCAGATATTCCTCGAAGCTTCCTGGTTGGCACCATCCAGTATGGAAACCAACCCAGTTTGTTAAATGAATAAATCAATCAAGGCTAAATAGAATGGGAGGCTGTGAAGAAACTGGAACTTTATAGGAATGGACCCAAGTAGCATTCTGAACCTGGCACCATATTTTACAAGGTTTTGCCTGCAATCCAAACCTTAAAAAAAAAACCCAGCTTCATAAATTTCTAAATACAATATTGAGGATGTGCTCTGGACTGATGAGTCACAATTTCTCCTTTTGATTCTCCATACATTGAACTCCTGGGACAAACAATTGGCATCTCATTAAATTAAACACCATCGCAAGTAAGGAGATTATCAATCATTGCTACCAATGGGACTGGCTGAATAAAGAGTATCTTCTTTTTTGTCTTTCCCTCCCACCATCTTTCTGCCAAATAAATATTTTTCCAGAATGGTGTTGTGTTGTATTAAAAAAAATGTAACCTTTTGCAAGATCAGATACAGATCTTAAACAGAGAGAGAGAGAGAGTCATGTTGAGAAATGTATTTACTAGAGCTCTGAATTTCCAGTGGGGGGGGAAGTGCAAAAGCAAAGCATGCTGATTATATACTTGCCCAGAATGCTTAAACCACTTTCTGGGTGGCTTACAATTTAATTACAGTATTTGTTAGTGAACCTCGAGTGAACCTACCTGAGATTGAATCTGGGTCATGAACAGAGTGTTGGCTGGAGTACTGCTGTTTAGCTACTGGACCATGAGGCGCCATAGTTCAAGAAGAAATACCATATTTTTTCCATGTAAAAGACGATATTTTTGTCTAAAATATTTAGATTAAAAATTAAGGGTCGTATAATACACTGCGGCGGGGAGGGATCAAAGCACTTTGATTCCTGCTTTCCCCCTCCACTTTTTGTGAAGCAGGAATCCAAGTGCTTCGATCCCTGCCTTCCCCCTCCACTTTCTTGAGAAGAAATTTTGGGTTAGAAAAGTGTGTGTGTGTGTGTGTGGGGGTCTTATACATGGGGGGGCTCTTATACATAGAAAATATGGAAGTATCTCTGTGTAGACTCCACATACAAAATGGTGTTCTAAATTGTAAAATCTTGGGAAACTTGCCTTTTGAAACTACAGCTCCCAGTCTCCTTCCCGCTATCATGGTGGCTGATGGTGGCGGAGATACTCTAGGCCACACACTGAGTCTATACAACTATGATTTTACATTTGAGTTACTACATATGAACTTACTTTTCTCAGAAGGTGTTTTTTAAATTGCACTTGTGAACTGATGGGAGCTCAAATGTTTTCACCGGTGTACTGTAAATTTCCCTGCTCCCTGTCAGAAGAGCAGTCTCCAAACCATGGCATCCTTCAGTCTCGAAAGACTATGGTAACGTGCTCTGTATTGAAGACTTGGAACAGCGTCTAGTGTGGCTGAGAAGGCCAATTCGAGAGTGACAATCCATTCCACACTGAAGACAAATCCAATCTGTCCCCTGTCCAGCTCCCTGATTTTGCTGCTTTCGTAACTGCCTCTTTGCCTTAGCCTGCTGGACAAGGGTCTCTTGAAATTGGGAGATGCCGTGATGCACCGCCTGCCTCCAGGCTGAACACTCAGATGTCAAGATTTCCCAGTCTACATGCTAGAAAAATAAATGGCAGTAGACTGATTTCTATATTTTAAGTGCATGTATATCTGTAAATAACCCTGTGTGGGAATGTACTACATATACAGTACAGTACATGTATATGTGGTCCAGGCAGCAGAGATGAGTGGAGGACACAAAGGTATTGGACCTCAGCAACACACAGCTATCACTGTTGCTGTATTGTTGTCCTTCAATGTTGCTTTTCCATTCTCCAACTTTTCCTGAGGGGTAGGATGAGCCCTGCTCTTAGGCTGTGGCAGTCTCCCGCCCATTCCTCTCAGAAGACAGACCTTTGTCTGATTCACAGCCAGTTCTGCACCCTCTAAAGTAGCTGCTGCTGTTAAGGACATTATGCCATTGCAAGTGATGAAGTCCGCTGCCTGTCCTGGTCTAGTGGCAGAAAACTCATGAAGGGGAGGGAAACTGGATGACCACTCCTTAAATATCTCACATACCTTGGGAAACGTACTAGGGTCATGGTAAGTTCGGATCGATTTAGCAATATGTCACTAACACATATTGATAAAGTGTGTGTGTGTAGCATCTTGTCCATTGTCTCAGGCAGCAAAATGTCTTGGGCCAGGCCAAATCAAGGTACTGCATAATCAATGACCATCTCACTTTCAGTTCTACCCAAAGTCCTGTGCTATATATACTTCAGACATTGTTTGGGTTTTTCCCTTCCATTTGCATAGCTTAGCTGTTTATTTGGCAACAGGTATTTCTGGTCTTTAGTGCTGCTGCCCTAGAGATGTTGTGCCATTCCTTAAGGGCAGCCTACGGCCTTCGCTGCAGGGAAGACTCCACGACAGAGCCTCTTTCGTCCATGCATTCAGGACATCAGTTCTGTTCTTGGCAATCTGAAGACAGATGATGTCTCATTTTTGAGCAGCTGGGCCAATTTGGAAGCAAACTCAATCCAAGAGTACTTTTCCTCTCCAAGGTTTCCTCTCCAAGGCGCACACACACAAATACAAATCCTGGACTGGCATGTTTGCAGCAAAATCTGGTTATGGTTAGCACAAACTGGCTGGCACCTGTAATGCTGCGAACACCCTTCTCTGCTTCCAACCCACCCCCAAAGTAGCTCTGCAGGTGACAATGCAATGCTTTTCAAATCTCCACTCACAGGCAAGTTCCACTTGTTTGGGACTCTGGGATCTAGGAATGCAGCTTAAAAGAACATTTACATTTTAAAAACTACTAGTAAAGTGACAATCCTGTACCAACTTACCTGGGAGTAAGTGCTGTTGAACTCAATAACACTTAAGTAGACCTTCACAGGATTGGTTTGAAGGCGACACTCAAATGGTGTGAATCTATGATGTGAAAGAACAGGAGATACATAGGAAGTTGCCTCCTCCTGAATCAGATCCTTGTTTCCTTTGGCCCGGAAGAATCAGCTCTGGCAGAAGCTCCCCAGGGTCTCAGCCAGGCTTCTTTCCTAGATCTACCCAGACATCTCCAGTAATAAATAGTAGTCTCTCATCCAAGTCCTAACCAGGCCCAACCTTGCTTAGCTCTTGAAATCAAACAAGGACAGGACCAGGGCTATATGTTGGAGCCTTGTGGGGCAGTGGTTAAACTGCAGCACTGCAGTCAAGACTCTGCTCATGACCTGAGTTTGATCCCAGTAGGCTCAGGTAGCTGGCTCAAGGTTGACTTCCATCCTTTCAAGGTTAGAAAACTGAGCACCCAATTCGCCAGGGTGGTGGATGTGTTGCAAAGATAATTAAATGGCAAAGAACCTAGAGAGTGCTTTAAGCACTATGGGGTGGTATATAAGCAGCATGATTAGCTTTTTTACTTTACCTTTAGCACCTCTGAAGATCCTGTTCTTTCCCTCCCACCTGGTCGCATAAAAGCCAGGTATGTGTTCCAGTCACAGCTGCAGCAAGAATAAACAGATGGCAGGGTTGTAAAGCAAGGCACGTCAATTCACAAACCACTCCAGAGTCGAAGTCTCATATTGTATCATTTTTACTGAAGAACAGCTGTATGCTGGATGGGGAAAGTCTGGCAGGCATCTGGGCTTCCCCTCCTCGACAGAACAGCATCCACGACTCCCCACATCCGCTGGGACCATAAAGTGCTCAAAATGAAGAAGGGCAGGGAGGAACTGGCACTGACACATGCATGCAGAATGCATACACAGACACACACACACACGCACACACATGACTGAGGAAGCCCCAGGGCTGGTTGTAAGGGTAGCGGCTGGCCCCTCTGGGTCAGTATCCTGTCCAACTCTTGGCCCTCCCTTGGTGGCTCCAGTTCCTTACATTCCTTGGCCAACTTGGTGGGGAGGCCGATGAAGGCAATAGTGGCAAGGACGTCCCCTTCTTATGACCCTTTCTCAGTCCAAAACAGAAGGCTTAGGATTCTGTGGCTCAGTATGAACAAGAACGCACTTAAGGACAGTTCCAAGTTGATGATACCTCTTGAAACATCCCTACCTACCCCATATTTCCTTAGAAAGGATGCCTTCCTGTGTCCTCTGGTTAGAAGGGAACTGGCACAGTGCTCTTGTCTTCTGGGGCAAATTGCTCTCTGTGCCCCCCACCCCTGTTACCCTGAAGAAAGCACCCTGGCTGTGCTTTCCCTTGTAGGCTGTTTTTTCTTTTTTTGGAAATACCCTGTATGGCTGGGTAAGAGGTCTACTCTTCACCCTTGTATTTTGAGAGTTTCAAGGTCTGCCTTTTTGCCTCACCCTCACCCCACAAGCTAACTGTGTCTCAGTCTTATACCTGTGCATCACAGTCTAGCCTGGCATACAGGTGGTCTAGATGTAAGCAGCACACCCTCCCAGATGTACACGGGAGCTTTCGGGGAGATCCCAATGAGATCTGGTTGTGATGTACAATGTGATGGTAGGTATGACTTTGTAGCCAAGGCCAGAGAGGCTGGTGGTCATTGCTCCCACCTTCAGCCCAACTCAGGTTGGAGGATCTGTTTGGCTCCGTGGAAGGACAGATATGCCATCGTCTACATTTACTCCTGACTAATTAAATGGAGTTCTTTGGGGTTACATGCCGCAGGCCCACTCGTATAAGTCTGAAGTTCCAGTTGTGCTCAACAGCATGACTGTCCTACAGGTTGGATCAATCTCTTAGTAAACCAATCTCTTTAAATACTGTTTATATACAGGCAGGCAGCCTCTGGGCCTTGGCGCCTACGTCTTCCAGAGAGCCTGGCTGCAGCCGGAAGAAAGAGATTTATGGTGGAGAAGGAGAAAAGCAGGTTGTGCAGGACAGTCGGACTGTCAGTACAACGGCAACACTACACGGCTCAGCTGCACCCTGAACTGGCCGGGCTCTTACAGGACTAACTGCAGCTGCTGGTCTCTTGTCTCTAGATCATTGCCCAGGAGAAGCAACCATGTCATGCAGTAGCTGATCATCATCATCATCATCATCAGTTTTCTTTCCCCTTCACACACACAAAGCCACAGAACCCTTCCGGCTGAGGGAACAGCCACTTTGCCAGTGTTGACTCCTCTCAAGACCGATCATCTGCAGATGAAGCCACGTCTGCCCTGTGTGGGGAAAGGTCGGGGGTGAGGGGAGGTATTCCTGCAACCCTCTACTTCTAAAATAAAGTCTCCACAGAGTTGGCACCTGGATTCCAGGTTCCAGGGGCAGGCAGGTGGACAGACATAAAGTTTTTTTTCTTTTTAACAAAGGTCAGAGATTATGAGTTCTTCAGTTGTTTTTCCTTTCCAAAAAAACCCAAACGCAAAGTCTCCAGCCGACTGTACAAGGTCCCCGGACCGCCGTTTTTGTCTTGACGCCTCGGCCCACCCTGCCGGGGCTGGCTTAAGGGCGCCCCGCCCTCCCCCTCGGTGGCGCTCGAAGGGGCCCCGGTCACTTGTAGAGCAGGTGGACGCGGCTCCCGTCACAGTTGTTGCGCCCCAGCTTGTCGGCCTGTTCGGCCACGAGGCAGCGGACGAGCGGCAGGCTGGGCTGGTAGAGGTTGGGCCCCGTGGCGGCGGACGCTGAGGCAGAGTTGTTGAAGTGGTTGTCGGCAGCGCAGTTGGAGGACCGCCGCCGTGAACGCAGCTGTTGCCGTTCTTTGAGCTGCTGCTGGAGCTCAGAGACGCGCTCTTCCTTCTGCCGGAGACAAAAGATCAAATAAAAGGTTACAGGAAGCAAGCAAGGCGGATTCCCTGGAGTGCTGCGGCTGGCGAGATGGAGAAGGGGGGGAAAGGCCCGACTCCCGGCCGAAACACAGCCCAAGAAGGAAGGGGTAGCCAGAGCTGATCCTGCTTGGCAACCAGAACTGGGTCCCTTCCAGAACTGTGGAAAATTACTAGGCCTGCGCTCGCTGGAGGGATTCTGGGAGCTGTAGTCCCAAACAGTAACTTTTCAATATCTGTCTTGGGTCACAAAAGTAGGAGTCCCATCACATAGGACTGAAATGATACATGCAAAGTATATATGAAACTACATTTGATACAATACATGAAAAGCATATTATTGAATATTTAGGACAAATGCTATGAGCAGTAAATGCCATAGAACCACACTGTGCACAGGTTGAAGCCCAAATTTTGTTGTTGTTGTTTAAAGATGTTCTCCCTTTCTCTTAGCCTTCATGTTAACATAAATGTACGAACTTTTCATGCAAAATTAAAATAATAGTGACAATAATAATATTGTGCCATCAAGTCAATTCTGACTTATGGAGACCCTTTTTCAGGATTTTCCAGGTAGAGAATACTCAGAAATGGCTTACATTTCCCTTCTTTTGTGGGCACCCCTGGTTCTACTCTCAAGAGGCAGAGTGGGGGAATCAAACGCCCAACCTTTGGCTCTGCAACCAGTTACCTAAACTTGCCAGCTAAAATTAAAATAGAGGATTATAAGTTACAGGGCCTGGGAGCAAGAGGACAGGGCAGATGTCCTGCAGAAGCTCCGGTGCCCTCGGCCGCAACCTTAATCGAGCCATTCCTCCCTCCCTTCCTCACCTCTGCAATGATCTTCTCAAGTTCTCGGTTCTCCTTCTCCAGCATCCGTGACTTCTCTTCCTCGTTGTTGTTGGTGGAAGAGCCGGTCTTCATGGTGTCCTGCTGCTCTGATTGCCACTCTCCCCGGGTGATCAGACGCCGCATCTGAAAAAACAACAGCCGCCGCTCACAAGTTGGGCACTGAAGGGGGCACCTGGGAAGGCCTGGTGGTGGTGATCCCCTTGCCACCGGCTGGCCTGATGAGGCCAAAAGGCAAGGGTCTGAGATCTTTTCTCTCAGTGGGTTGCCCTCCTCCTCTTCCTCCTCCTCCCATAGGGAAGGCAGAGAGAAGAAATTTGGATTCAGCTACAGCCCTGAAGCCTAGCACAGCCAGGTTTGCTCCTCCTTGGCCTTCCCTATGGAAAGAAAGTAAGAGAAGAGATTAGCAACAGAGGGAACGCTCCCTTGAGGCTGAGGAGCAATCCCTTCTCTCCCCCTACTTTCTTCCAAGGCCTGGGGAAAGCAAGTCCTCCCTCGGAAGCCCTATGGACTGGTAGGGCCTCCAGGAAGGCTTAATGCAACCCACAGACTGGAAGCTTTAGCCCTTGGAGTCCTAAAGTCAGAGGGGGAAATTTTTATACGGGGTCAAAAGCACCTCTTTCTCTCTCTCTCTCTCTCTCTCTCACTGCAGCCCCACTTCTGTAGCTAGGAATGTAGGGAGACAGGGTGAGCACTATCCCCGTGGGTGGCCGTAGAGGAAATTTTAAAAGATCTGGGTGGGATGGGGAGAAGGGGTTTTACCTTGGGCACAAAAAGCACCACCAGGGTGATGTACGAAGAGAAGACAATGGCAAGGGAAGCAAAAGCGAAGGCGGCGTCTTGTTGACTGCTGAGAATCATGGTGACCGGGGCGGTGATGAGACACAGCACCTGCAAGAGGGAGAAAATCCAAGGAGGGTTTAGGGGAGAGCTTTGTGCGTTCTGAGGAACCATGTGCTGTGGATCCCCCCTCTTCTTGCATAGAGGTCTTCCTCTACCCACCCCCTCTGAATGTGGTGTGGGACTAAAACTCTTCACAATCGCCAAGACCCTGGCTTGGCTGGCAGGAGGCTTCTGGGAGTTAAAAGCTCAAAAAGGTAAGTTTTCCAAGCAGTGTGCAAGCATGGCCAAAACCGCAGGCTTCGGCACACAGGATTTTCATCAAGGAGAGAGAACTGGGCACTTTCAGTTCTCTCCCTCATCTATCTCTGTCCGGAGGTAGTCCAGAGCTTGGAATTGTTAGGGTGTGACCACACAGTGGAGAAAACATGGCTTGATTGGCTGAGGATTTGCATATTTGCTATACCTGTCCAGATGACAATTTGCAGGAGTTCAGCAAGGCAGAGGGAGAGAGCGCAATTTGGACAGGCTCCAACAGCAGAAGATGCTACGCTGACAAGGCTTGCATTGGCAATTTCCACCTCTCTTTTCTAAAATTTAGTTTTCCTAAATGCCTTAGCGATAGTGTGTTCCAGCACTGTCTTGAAACTTTTTTTTAAAAAAAAGAATCTTTGTGGAGATTAGGGGCATTCAGTTGAGTGGAATGGACATCTGGGCATCCCCCACAAATGCCCCTTAGAATTGGATCATGTGATCACGCTGGGCAGGATGTGGACAAAAGTAATATAAAACTGATCAAAAAAACTGAAAACACCCCCTTACTCTCTTAGGTGGCAGATTTCAGAATCCTTCTCCTCTTCAGGGATCCTAGGATCTACAGTCCAAGGAAGTCGCCTTTCCAAGCTCTGCATGCCCTCTTCCATATTCTCTTTGCCAACTTAGTGAATTCAGTTTAGAGCAGGTGAGATTCCCAAGCTAACTGTTTTGTCTGAATGTAAGCCACTTACAGCCACGTTGTAGATGGCCATGCCCACCGCCCGGTGGTCGTTGATTTTCTCTGTGGAGACACCCTTCGTCTCATAGGCGAGAAAAATGCCCAGCAGTAGCAGCAGCCCCTTGAAGCCATAGAAGATGCCTGTGACCGGGGAGAGATGGAGGCATAAACAGAGGGGATGGTGATCACAGTGGAACAGATAGACTCTGGAGGAAGAATGATGGATTCAGGGAAGGACCCTGAATGAAGTGTTCTTCCCTCACATTTCAAATACTTGAAAGGTAATCATAGAGAGGAGGGGCAGGATGCTAGATTTAGGCCGAATATCAGAAAAAAACTTCCCAACTGTTAGAGCAGTACGACAATGGAACCAATTACCTCGGGAGGTGGTGAGTGCTCCAACACTGGAGGCATTTCAAGCAAAAATTGTACATCCATTTGTCAGATCTGCTTTGACTTGGATTCCTGCCTTGAGCAGGTGGTTGGACTCCATGGCCTTAAAGGCCCCTTCCAACTCTCTTATTCTACAGTATGATTCTGACAGCAGATTTTGCTGTTTAATAGGAATTCATTCATTTGATAGCTCCTATTTCTATATAATGTCTAAGAAAGCTTACAGTCAAAGATAAGGTAGCACACCATCAGAAAACCAATTATTTTAAGCCCAACTTTTATAAGCAGCAGGAGTATATGGTAATTTAAAGCAAAGGAAGGAGGGCCGCACCTGCAACATATGATTGCACCGCCTAGGGATGAACACTATGTTTTGACTTACGAAAAGGTATCTGGGACGTATATATGCACAAATGGATTCTAAATCTGTTCTCCAAATGCA